CTATAAATTATATTCTCATAAAAAAAAGAAACTACTGAGAATACTTTTACATTTGTAAGAGCTCTAGCTTTAGGCTACTTGGTTAAGTAATCAGTTGCTATTACAATGTACTTATTTTCTTAATTTATTATAAGTAAAGGTCTAATAATATTCATCCCTACTCGATTGAAGGGTTATTCTACTTTTATAGAATGTAATAGCTATTATTAAAGAATTTGTGAATTTTATTATTATTAGTTTTTCTTTGTTAGTATTTTTATTATTAAGCATATTCTCAAATACATCAAAAATCTGGTCTTTATCTTTTTTATTACTGATCATTGTTTCATTTATTTTTTGGTATTTTGACTGATAATATACTTTTATTATCAAGTGGAGTTTTTACTTTTTAGATATTTTTAAGTTGTTAGAATACTATATTATTGATGTATATTCAAAGGTTTAAAAAAGAATAGAGTTGTTAGATTTGTCTAAATCATATTTTTTGCTGTTGAAGTTGATACAACTGAAGAAATTTAAAAAGAATTGGCTATAGTGTCATCAGTTAGCCTTGACAAAATAATTGTAAGTTTCTTCTTAAAAGGTTAGTTATCATTAATTTTAATTAAATCAGAATGACTATGCAAGTTGCAGGTATTATCTTAAAAAAATTTTTTTTATTGTTTTTTTCATAGTGTTTTGGAAAAAGAGAGAAAAGAATAGTTAATAATATGCAAATAATCTCTGTTATAATTAAAGATGGTCACCGCAATTAAAAAAAATAACACAATTGAGTTGCAACTTATGACATAATTAAATTTCCTTATGGCACAATTAAGTTGCAACTCAATTGAAATTTAAAAATAATTATGGGGATCATCTTTAGCTATAATTAACATATATAATGTATAATATGAATATGATATATTATATAACATTCAATTTTTTCATTATAATATTTTTTTTTTTCTTTTTTAATGATTCAAAAAATTTAATTTTATTTAAGTAAAATAATAATACAAAATATTAATTAAAACAAAAAACAAAAATCAAACATACTTTTTATATTATATTCAAATTATTTGAGTACTCTGTTAGTCATATTTCCTCTCTAATTAAAAGATATAACATATATCATATCTTAAAATTTATCAACAAGAAAGTAAAAAGAAAATCAAAAATATATTTTAAGAATTAAGATCCTAAATATAAAAATTAGAAAAAAAAAGTAACATTCAATCAACTATTTTGAAAAAGAAATGAAAAATAGGAAAGAGAAAACTACAAAAAAGAATACTAATTAAAAACTATTTATAAGAGACTACTATCATAATACTTCTATTAATGTTAATATTATTATATAATTTATTTTAGAGAATTGAGAAATAATAAACTGGTAATTAGACAGTTCTGATTTTTTTATTAAAGTTTATTAGACTAAATAAAATTACAAAAAAGAAAAATTCATATAGAATGTTACTTGATTAATTGTTAATTCACTGATCACTAGACTAGCAAAAAAGAGTAACTCATATATCATATCTCAATATCATACTTGATTACTAAACTGACGTAAAAAATCAATACTTTTACTATAAAATCTAATATCTAAACAAAAACAGAAGGCTAATATCTTTACTAAAGAACTTAGTGATCAAATAATTTAGAAACAAGAAGAAAAGAGTAGCAGTTAGATTAAATAAGGTGATAATTAGATTATAAAGTGATATTTATAATTAGGTAATAATCTATTCATAAATAGTAGGAAATACATAAAGAAATAGCTAGAATTTAAAAGAAATAACTAATAAAAAGAAAAAGTAGGTTATATGATAGCATTCAGACTATATCTATTAGATTATAAAGTGATAATTAGATAATAGATATTGGATTATAGTATAATAAATAGATTATGTAATAGTAATCAGATTATATTGTGATAATCAAATAATATAATAATAATCAAAATATAGAGTAGTAATCAAATTATATAATAATACTATAATCAATTTTAAGTGATATACCATTTAATTTTAATATTATTCTTCAAAAATTATTCTTTTTATTATAGATCTAGTATTATCACCATAATCATTATAAATTAGTTTAGTTAACGTTAATTGAATTATTTTATTATTTAATGATTTTATATTTTTTTTATAAAATGCTAATACTATAAAATAGAAATTGTTGTTAATTTATTAAAAAAATTTATACTTATATTTTGTTTTTATTATAAATTTTTATATAATTGCAAAAATTAATTAACATTGACTTAATTATTGATTTGCAGATATTAGTATACTTTATTTAATCTTTTACTTTATTTCAAATTAATAATAAATTTTTTTATATAATTAATTATTTAATTAAAAAGAATATATAAAAATATATATATATAGTTTAATTTTTTAAAGTTTTATTTAGAAGGTTTATTAAAATTTCAATTTTATTAAAATTATATTTACTTAAAATACATAAAAAATAATTAAAATTAATAAAAAAAATATATTTCTAATATAATAAAATTTTTAAAATTTTTTTATTTTAAGAAACTAAAAGTAAAGATTATAGACAAATTTAATTAATATATATAAATAAAAATTCTCTTTAAAAAAAGAGAATAATATAAAATTTTAATATAATACAAAAAAAAAAAAAAATATTTTATAATATTTATTATTAAACTAAATAAATAATAAGAATTATATAAATTATACAAGTTATTAATATATATATAACATTTTAATGCAATTTTATAATATTAAAATAAACTTTATCAATAATTAGGATTACATAAAATCTGATAAGAATTTGTTTGTTCTATATAAATCCCACAAAATTTTTTAATAATCTATTAATTTTTTTTTTTTTTTTTTTTTGAAAAGTTTCATTATAAGATTATCCAAAACAAATTATCTTACCAATAAAATTTCCCCCTTTTTTAATAATGATTTATTAGCTTCCAGAAGCCTCTTCTTGACCATTTACACTATCAACAACCACTACAGCTGAGCTAGCAGCATTATTTGAATTTAAATTAGAGGGTTGAGCAATTAATTTCGCATTAGCAATGACCTGCAAAATATCCGTGAGAGATTGTTTCCAACTATCAAGTTTAGAAGATAACTGTTGCCATTGAGCAGTTGTGAATGTTCGATATGTGGATCTGTTTACAAGGATTTTCTTCTTAACTTGATTGATTTTTGCTTCAATTAAATTAGCTCGAATGACTGTAAACCAAACGAAAAAATGTGAATACCATAATATTAAAAATTTATTATAACATTATTAATAGGTTACCATCTATTGTCCACATTTCAACTTCGGATTCTTGAATTTCTAATGCTTTTGCTATCGTCTCATAAGAGATCTCTCGAGAAACATTCTCAGATGCCAAAGAAGCCAACGTCAATAATCTAATTTTACGTATGTTATCCTCATTAGAAAGTCCTAATCATATGTTAGAGATCATTTGACTTATAATAATAATATAATCGCATGAATAGTTTAATCATTAAAATATCTATTTTACTTACCAAATTTTTCCACGGCACCAGGATTTACAGCAACGTAATCTTGATATTCTCTTAAATTCCCACTCAAGAAGACTTTTAATAGATCAAAGAGCTTTTCCTCACTTTTCAAGCATTGTATAGCATGTAACTCGAGTAAATCTTCAAAGCTCAAAATTTCGGGTAATTGAATAGCTTCAGCGACTGCACGAATTGCTGCAGTTTTGGCCGCAGAAAGATCATCGGAAGCAGAATAGGTGGCGAGATGTTTTAACAGGAAGTCATGAGATCGTTTGCTATGCAATATTATTATTTATAAAAAAGGAGAGAAATATATATATTAAAAATTCGATGAGATCATTAAAGAAAATATATATATATATATATATATTCTTTTTAAAAAATAAGAGAAGAACGTACAGTTCGCCAGCTTCTTTCAATTTATCCGAAACTGTCAAATATAATTCCCGTACTTGATCTGTAGAAATTGCCCATTCCTTTACCCAAGTGTCCAGTCGATGCAATTGTGGTAACAAAGTATCAATTTCATCATTTTTGGTTGCAATGTCAAGAATTGCAAGAAATACATCATATCTTAGTGTTGAGTTATATTCCAGAGTATTATAAAGATTCTGAAGACTTAAAAAAAAAACTTAGTAACCTTTATTATAACAACCAATATAAATATAAAATGATTTCATGGCTCACACTTTGAGTTTTGGAATCGCCTTATCGTTTTGAACTTCCACAAGAGCCTTGATGGATGATTTAATTAATATTGGATGTGTCTCGGGTGATGCCGACTTTAAAATGGCAATGAGAAGATTATATATAGCTTCGAATTCTGTATGTTAGTTGTAAAACCAAACCAAACTTATGGATTATGTAATAAAAAAAAAAAAGCAAAAATCCTCCAAATTGACAGGGTTCGGTGCTATAAAATACCCTTTTCCGGTGCTTCAAGTAATATTAATGTAGACGAAGCAAACGTTTGTAAGACTTGTTCAAAATTCTTTTCTTTTAACAGATTTTCTGTTTCTGTGATAAAAGGTCCTTTTTCTTCCGGTTCACCTTTTAATTTTGAGACATAGGAAGCAAACTCCAAGGCCTAAGAGATAAAACATACACGTCCTTTTTGTAAATAAACATATGCCCGATATTTTTGTCACAAAAGTTAGGAATTATTCGTTCAACGCACCTGAGCCTCCAAGGGACCTTCCGTAAAGACAGTATTTACGTACGACATATTTATGAAAACCAGGTTAAAAAAATTCAAGAGGGTCGAAACGACGATTGGGCTGTAAAAAAAAAAAAAAAAAAATTGAAAATGATGAAACCAATCGTCCAATAAAAATTTTGCGACACAAATTTTTTTTTTTTAGCAAGGGTTTATGTAACTACCCAAACACCCTTGCAATTCGATTTCATCATCCAAATACGGCACGGGTTCAACTCAAAAAATTTTACGAATCACTTTCTCTTGCATTTCAGTCCTTTTTTTAAAAAATGTCTGACCGTTATAGGTGATAAAGCTTTTCAGATATTCAATTTTCAATTTGCATTACTCGGGGATTTAATAATTTATCTTACTTTGTCCTGGTTAGTTTCTCTTTAACGACCTTTTCACCTTCAGGAAAACTTGTTCAAATCGAATACGCCTTGAATGCAGTCGCTCAAGGAGTAACAAGCATTGGTATCAAAGGTAATAGGGCAGTCTCAAGTCTTTTTTTTTTTTTAGATTGTCTTATTCGATATTAATAGTATTCATTTAATAGCAACCAACGGTATTGTCATTGCGACCGAGAAGAAAACTGCATCTCCGCTTATTGATGACACGTCTCTCGAAAAAGTCGCAAATGTTTGTCCAAATATTGGAATAGTTTACTCTGGAATGGGTCCTGATTTTAGGGTCTTGTTAGCAAAGGCAAGAAAGGCCGCACAAAAATATAAGAGAATTTACAATGAATATCCAACAACAGGAATATTGGTCAAAGATGTTGCCAGCGTCATGCAGGAATTTACCCAGAGTGGGTAAGTTAATTAACGAATCATTTCGAAGAGGGAAAAAAATATATTTATATATTTATTTATTTAAATTTATATATTAACTAACGATCTTAGAGGTGTTCGACCATTTGGTGTTTCCCTTTTGATCGCGGGTTATGATGAAACTGGACCAGTTTTGTATCAAGTTGATCCGTCAGGATCATATTGGGCGTGGAAAGCATCCGCGATCGGGAAGAATATGATTAACGCCAAAACTTTTCTGGAAAAACGGTACGATCTCTATAATAATATTTTACGAGGATTGAATTTACACGCTAATTCAATGATTCCCTAATAGATATAACGACGACATTGAACTTGAGGACGCTGTTCATACTTCCATTCTTACCCTAAAAGAGGGTTTTGAAGGACAGATGACTGAGCATTCAATCGAGATTGGTATCATTGGTGGTGGAACCACTGGATTTACAGAAGGAAAAGAACAACCTTTATTTAGAAAGCTAAGTCCTTCAGAAGTTAGAGACTATTTGGCAAACATTTCCTAGTTTATTATAAATTTGTAATTTATCATCGCATCGCCATGTAATATATGTGGAGAGAGATATTCTTGACAATTTATTGATTGTATTAAAATGATTTGTTTGTAGAATTATTTTTAATTTTGACTATAAAGACTATAAAGTAAACTATGATGATGAAACACGTGACAAGTTATCTTGCTTAATCACGTGATCGTTGAAAATTTTATTAACCCAAAATCCACAAAAATTATAAAATTTTTGTCAATTTCAAAAAAAAAAGTGTAAAAAAAAAAAAGAAAAAAAATTATTAAAACCATACTATATATATGTATATATATTTTTGTAAATGTACTTGTAAATGTAGGAAAAAAAACCATATGTTAAAAAAAGTAAAGTGTAATGTACAAAAAAAACCTTTTTTTTTTTTTGCGAAACTTAAAAAAAAAAAAAAATAAGAAATAAATATTTACGTAAATTAAATAATTTGATCGATTGAAATATTTTAAAAAAGATGAAAAAAATTCGAATATGAAAAAAAAAAGGAAAAAAAAAAAAAAAAAAATGAAAAATTTTAAGGTATGGGGTGTACTATATATATTCAGTCAATGAAAATGTATAAAAAAAAAAAAAAAAAAAAAAAAAAAAATATAAAAATAAATAAATATCATACAATAATATAACACCAAACAAATTTTAGCATATATGGAAATGTTTTTTTTTTTTTAAAAAAAAAAAGCCAAATTATTATTTCTTAAATAATGACGCCCAAAAAAAAAATGTAAAATCAACCGCGACGAATAAAGAAAATACATTTGAAAATTTTAAAACATAAATTAAAAAATCGATTGCTATGGAAAAAAAAAAAAGAAAAAAAAAAAAATGGAAAGTCTCGGCTTTTTTTTTTTTTTTTTTTTTTTTTATTTGATTCAATAATCATCGTCCAAAACTTTTATCGCGCAATGGACAAAATGGACTTTAATTCTTTAGAGATTTTAATTAAAAACCTAATTCCATAGCAGTATCTCTATTTACTACAGAACTCTCTGATTCATCATCACTAAACGATTGTGGGTGGATCATCACATTAGGACGCGTAGTATAACCGTTTGGTAGACTTTCATCATCGGATGAAACTAGCGTGGATTGAACTATTCGTTGGTCAGGCCATGCATAATGCATGAATAATGATGGCGATAAAGGATAGTGTCTTTGAGTCGAAGATGACGACGAATTGTTGTTCGTCGTTGATCTATTGTTGTTGGTTGTGGGTGTTGATGATGAATTATTATTATTGTTTGAAGTCGTTTGCAATATCGGTGCTGATGTGTGAGATCGATGTAAAGATCGTCTGTTGCCTTTAGGCACGGTGGTTTTCGATGCAGAATTCGATGATGATGTTTGAAATTGACGAGGCGATTGTTGAGAATTACTTGAAGATACGGTTGGGTTACCATTTTCTTCTTGCTGCTTTTGTTGCTGCTGCATTGTCGTCGCCATCATCATTTGAGCTCGGACACTCGACCCGGAAAGTGATGTGCTCATTTGTGACTGTTGTTGTGAATGCCGTATTTGTTGAGCATTCAATAATTGTCGTTCATCACTTGAAGAGAACCGTCTCTGCCTTTTTTGGACTCCCTGAATATTTGGTCTGGCACTAAATGCATTATTTGAATATTGTGCGGTAGGTGCTGACGTGGATAATACCGATGCCGAAGCGGGTGTATTTACAACGCCTGATCGAGAGTTCATATTACTCGTAAATGACGTTCTTTTGCCCATTACGCTCATGCTAGCACCACCAGGACCTAATTGTACACTATTACCTTTTAAACCATTTTTACCGGGATTTTTTCCCGCCGCTGCAGCACCACCTCGATTACGTTTCTTTATAACGTCTGTCTTTAAACTTAGAGGTCTAACAACGCCATGCAATTTCAAGAACAAACCACATGCATTACAAAGGGGTTGACCTTCGGGATTGCGACGCCATAATGGCGTCGTCTGTGTATGACAATTCGTGCAAGTGGTCGGTACCGCGTTCTTTGACGAATTGCCATTATTATTGTTTGGATCTTTAGGTATTGTGGGAGATGGGGGTGAAGATGATGAGGGGTTATTGTTATTTTGAACAGATTTTATGGGACCAGTATTTACCGGCGCCGTCAAAGAAGCACGGGATGATGACCTCGGTCTTTTGCCCGGTGACGTTAAACCATTGGATGATTCCCCCTCACCGTTTGGCAGTGACGATGAAATGTTCTTATTATTTGTATCAACGATAGATGATGAATGTCTTTTTATCTTGGAAGTGCTATTTACAATGTTGCTACTACAACCATTATTCCTTTCACCACCTCTACCCCACTCCCTTAAATTTGCTTGATCATAACCCATTGAACTTGAAGCTTTATCTTGACCATCAGACTCTTCTGAGGAACAAATTTGTTCATTGGACTGTAAATCATATGAAATCGATGAAGGTGATGTGCTGAACAATTGAGATGGGTTAACGTGTGATAGCGAAGACAAGTTCAACTGGTTATTAGGACCGTTTACGTAATAAATGTTAACCATATCGAACACTGATGCAGCTGTAGAATCTCCATTCGTAAGATCACCTGTACCATTATAATCTCCGAAATAAAACCCTCCATTATTTACCGGACGAGCGGCTGACTGATATGGTATTTGCGCGGAATTATTCATATCATGATTGGTCAATTCGCTGAAAAAAGGATAAGAATGAGGAGCCGACGAACTCAAGAGAGCTGACGAACCAGCATAATCCATCGAATGGTGTTGATCATACGGAGGATTAAAAGGCGTATACGTAAATTGCGTATTAGTCGACGCGCTGGTCAAAGAAGACGACATTGAATCTGGTAATTCTATGTCAGAGTCATCGGCAGTATCGCTAGGTATTGTTATGCTAGATACTGGAAGAATTAAACTGGTGGATCTCTGCCTTTGGGTCTACATTCAACGATTCCGGCATTGGATGTTGTGGAGAAAGGGGGTGGGGGATGAGAAGTTGTTAATAAGATTAATTCAATAACAGTAATCATCGTAATGGAATTAAGGATTTGTTTTTAACCTTCTTGAAGGGATAATTTCCGATCGATTTACTCATGTTAGGAACCCCTCGAGACACGGGAATTGCTATCGGACGCATTTGAAGGTTTGAAGGTTTCCCAGAAAAGTTTACAAAATTCTTCCTATTTAACGAGAAAGAAGGGTGGGAGAAACAAAAGTCTTCTGCAGCATTGGTATCACTAAAATTGAATTCCAGTCCATTTGAAGGGGTAGTTGGTATCGTATGAGCAGCTGACGAAGAGACAACGGGGATAGGAATAGCCGAAGTCTTTGAAGTGAGAACGGGCGAAGGAGATGACGTGTATGAAGAATGATTATCATCCGTATTACTTGTACTAGTATCTGATGGGGAATTTACTAGATGCGCATGATCATCTACAAACATTTCTTCAAACTTATGATCATCTAAATGGTCTACGGAGATGCCAGTAGGTAAATCACGTTCACAGCTGTTATCATCCGAAAATGAATCTCCCATCTCCACATCATATTGTTCACATATGCTTATATCTACATTGACATTATTCCTAGAGTTTTTTTTTATCATCATTATTAAAAATAAAATAAAAAATAAAAAAAAAAAGGAATGATCAATTTTAGATTTACTTTTCAAAAATATTAGATATTATTTTCTTAAACGCTTACTTTTCATTGGTAGGTTCAACCTTTGCTTGTTTACACATCAAAATTTTGGAAGACCTTTTCGAATTCGTCGAACGGAAAGTTGTGGTGGGAACCTTGTTATAATTACGGTTGCTGAGTGGCGGTCGTCTCACTTGCTCTTTTTCAAGGTTTTTACGTCTTAAAGTGACGGCCATCATACGCCAAGTCATATTTTCGACACGAACTCCATGTGGCAAGGCGTCTTTTGCTTTTGTATATAATCTCCAGATTGAGGCGGCCAAAGGATCCTTTTTAGATTCATCACAATCATCGTCACTGACATCATCATTGGACTTATTCTTGCAAGGTTTTGAGAAGTAAGGAGGTTCCAGAAGAACTTTATGAATATCTCCCAAAGCGAGTTTTTTTGATTTTTCTGAATCCTTTGATTTTTCACTATCGGACCATTTAACATTGTTTAACACCCTGTTGTTATTTGGATTACGGGCCATATTTTTGCTTTTGATATTATTCGAATTTGAACCAAAATCGTTTTGACGGCAATTCGGATGGTGCTGGTATTCCGGCTTTGAAGCCGTGGTGGAAGTCGTTACTTGTGACGTGTTGAGAGAGGTTGAGCCTTGAGAGGACTTTCTAAAGTCACCGTTACGCTGACTTGGAACCCTGCTGTAAGTTATTTGACGTGAGCTGGCCGGGAAGTTCTGTTGTATTTGCGGTTGTTCGTTCAAGCTCCCTTGAATTCCGCCGTCACCGTTGCTGTCGCAATTCTGATTATTAGGATTCAATCTATTTATATCAAAGTTATCAGAAGGTGGCAGTTTGTGAGAAAACAAAGGAGGTTGACTGTACGTCGATACCATCCCGTTAGAGGATTTTTATATATATATACAATATCTCGGCGTTTTTGGGAAAAAAAAATTTTTTTTTTGAAAGCTTTTTTTAAAAAAAAAAAAATTTATCGATTTCCTAATTCTATTTATTGAAGTAAAGTCGATGAAGAAGAATAAAGAATATAAAAAAAAAAAATGAAATGGAAAAAAATTATGCGTGTTGAATTATAAAGAAAATAAAAAATAAAAATAAAAAAAAATAAAAAAAAAAAAAAAAAAACCAAAAACGAATAAAAACCTATTTAATAAAAAAAATTTTTTAAACCTGTAATGATAAAAAAAAAATAAAAATAAAAGGGATTTAAAAAATTAATTTTGGGGACAAAAAAAAAAATTTTTTTTCGCAGTTTTGAGTTTGTTGTTTGTTTAATCGTGTGAAATATGGTTTCTATAACTTCTTTATTTTTTTTTTTTTTT